GTGTTAGCTAAAGAAGAATCTGATTTTTAGGGAAGATTTTAAGAAAAACTGTTTCTAGGTCATGGTGGGGTTTGCAGGTCGAGGTATGTTCTATGTTGGTTTGGTCTTGTTCCCGTTTCGCTAGATGGCGTATGGATTGAGGGTGTCTCTCATAGGTCCTTTAAAATTTTTTTCTTCCCCCCTCTCCACTATTTCTGCCTACGTGTCAGTCATTCGTATCCCCTGAATTAAGTGACCACGTTATCACATTGATTTACTTCTCTTTGTTATAACTACTTTAAAAAGAGCTCAATTTTTTGGGTGCTCTGGTGTGGTTTACCCCTTCTTTTTTTATAAAACATTTTTCTCCTTATCTCTCCCTCTTTTTTTTTTTTTTTTACTCTCCTGTAACACCTCTAATCTGTGGCTCTTATACGATCAGATTCTGTTGCAAAGTGCAGTAAACCCCTTACTAAAAAACAAAAAAAACAAAGAAAAATCATTCAACTTTTGTCTGCTTCTGCACAGCCTCATTTGGAAGTGTGTGAAAAGTTCCCCTTGGTTTGTGAGCGCTGTGGACAGGCAGACATCCTGAGAGAACAGGTGGGTATAGAGGCCTGAGAAGCTTTTTTTTGTGTCACGTCACAGCGTCAGGTTATGTAGTCATTACATCAGAGAGGAAAATTGAGCCCAGTTGAAGATTAAGTGTGGAGAAGGCGGTTGCAATGGATTGGACGTACCCTCAGGAAGACACTACTTCGTAAGAGAAAGTGTTAGATTGAAATCCACTGGGCAAGAGGTCAATGGAAAGCAGTGTTGTACCTGGAGAAGTGTCGTACCTGGAGAAGTGTCAACAGAGAATGGTGTATAGAGAAGTGGAAAGAAGTTGAATAATGTTTAGATAAGGGAAAGTGGAGAATGTTTATTCGTGGCCTATACTCTGATCCAGTGTGAGAAAGACATTCATGATAATGACTTGGGTGTCTGTGGTATAATGGTTAGACTCTTTGCCATTGTATGCTGAAGATATGGGTTTGATTTCCAAGTGGAGAAATTGTTGTAAAGAGTGCTTCCATCTGTCTGCTGGTGCATTGTTTCCCACTTAACGTAGGTGGACCTTGACTGGCAAAGTCTGAGCTGCTGGGTTCTTAGGTGATCTAAAATTGTATTGATG